CAGGGGTGTTGGCTAAAATTTCTTCTTGAAGAATAGTTTCCTAAGTTAACCAAGGATGAAAGCAAAGACTTAGTGCTTCTTCCAGCGTCTTGTGCAAGGAGTTATGAGATTGTTCCAGTGCTGTTGAGCAGTTTTAAATTGAAATCTGCCTGTTGCAGATTGGAAGGCTGGAGAAAAAAATCCGGATTCCATTCATTTTTGTTGGTGCCCTGAGTCTGACCGGGCTGGAGGTAACTTTGTTCCCAGCAGCTGTACTGGTGCTGTGTTTTGGATTCCTGTCTAAAGCAGTGCTGATAACACAGAGTATTTTGGCTCCTGCTGAACGGTGCTTTTACATGGTCAGGGCTTTCTCCCCTCCACACTCCCCAACAAGCAGACTTGGGGTGCATGAGAACCTGGAAGGGGTCACAGCTGGGACAGCTGACCTGAGTTGACTAAAGAGATTTTCCATACTATATAGTGTCATGTTCAGCAATAAAAACTGAAGTAGAGGAAGAGGAGGATGTGTGTAGTTTGGCTGTAGGTGGCTCTTGCTTGGAGAGGGGGTGGTGTCAGCCTGCTGCCGGAGGTGCTGAGCGATTGCCTTTGCAGCACTTTGCCTCCTCCATCTTCCCCGAGTCCACCAGGAGCACCTGAGCTCTGCCAAGTCCTCCAGCTCAGTCATGCACCCTGCAAGCAGGAATGGGTGGCTGCCAGTGAGACAAGCATACAAATCTATAGTCTGGAACTCAGTGAAGTTCCAAACCTCTCTCACGTTTACCTGATGGGATGCTATTGACAGGAGTGACAAACACCATGCTATGATCTTGTACATCAAGAAGTGTGGGGTTCCAAGCACTTGCCCTCTTTCAGGAAACAGTTACCCTCTAGTTGAGGTGAACAACAGCAGATTTACCCATGAGAATTAGTTCTCATTTGCTGCTGGAAACCAAACCTTAGGAACTCACCTCTCATTTCAAGGCAGTGGGCAAGGAACGGCCCAGTTGTTGATGTTTTCAGTGCCATGTTCTTAGCTCAGGAATTCTCCAAGTTCACCATTTTGCATTAATTTTCCTAGGAACTGCAATGTCTTCTCTTCAAGCCCCAGACTGAATTCAAGCTATTCCAAGCCCCCTTGCCCTCTGCCATCCTGCTACAGGTCTGGTCCTGTTTTGGACCTAGTTAGGCAGGCGTCTGGGATGTTAACTCTTCTGCCTGAGCTGGTAATAAAGGATTCATAGACTGTCATGGTCCTAATACCCTGCACGTCAAAGCAGCAGTTTTTCTGGAGGTGGTGTATTCTTTCCCTGGGAAGGATGTTCTTACCAGTAGCAGAACAGCCTCTGTATTCCCGTCAGCCATGGCCGTGCTGCTTGGCCAAGGCTGTGTCTCCAGGACTAACATCATCCCTGTTACTCTTTTATGTTTAATTGTCTATTAAATGAAACAGTTGAAATAAAGCAGTTCCAGGGTAGTGAACTGATGGCAGGGTTCCAGGCCTTAGGATGGAGGGTGCTCTGCCCTGACTTTGCTCTGCAGGCAGGAGCTTTTGCAGTCGCTCAGTCCTGGGGGACTGCACTGAGGAGACAGAGCTGTTTTGAAACAATGGGACCAAGAAATCATGTTTTATGTTCTAGTAAGGTTCAACTACTACTGTATCCATATAGCAAGGTAACATCTTACCTTTTGCAAAGGGAGTTTGTGGCCAGTGCTATATTGGTGTTTGTTTTGAGACATGGGGGGGTGAGAGCTGTGTGATTTCTTTCTTCTAGGAGATGCATCCACAAGTCCTTCATTATCAAGAGCAACAGCAAGTAAAGAGTTAGATGAGCAGGCAAGAAAAAACATCCCTGGGAAGAACAGAGGGAAGAGGAAAGCAGATACCTCCTCTTCACAGGACAGTGAACTAGAGGTAAATAGTAATCTTGTTTTCTACAGGTCGCATTGCAGAATAGTGTGGTGGTAAAAGTTCTCCTCTCTTTTTTTTCATTCTGTCTCTGTGGAAATGAATAGGGATTATAGAATGCTTTGGGTTGGAAGGGCCTTTAAGGGTCATCTAGTCCAACCCCCCTGCCATGAGCAGGGGCATCTTCAGCTATCCCAGGTTGCTCCAAGCCCCATCCAACCTGGCCCTGAACACTTCCAGGGATGGGGCAACCACAGCTTCTGTGGGCAACCTGTGCCAGGGCCTCACCACTTTGATTGTAAAAAATGTCTTCCTTACATCTAGTCTAAATTTACTTTCTTTGCATTTAAAACCATTTCCTCTTGTTCTATCACTACTAAGGCCCTACTAAAAGGTCTGTCCCCCTGGGTTCAAACTGCAAGAGAGTAGGTTTAGATTAGATATTAAGAAAAAAATTCTTTATTGTGAGGGTGGGGAGGCCCTGGCACAGGTTGCCCAGAGAAGCTGTGGCTGGCCCCTCCCTGGAAGTGTCCAAGGCCAGGCTGGATGGGGCTTGGAGCAACCTGGGATACCTGGGATACCTGTCCCTGCCCATGGCAGGGGGTTCAGAGTGAGATGATCTTCAAAGTCCCCTTCCAACCCAAACCATTCTAGGATGATATGATCTTTCTTATAAACCTCCTGTAAGTGTTGAAAGGTCACAATAGGGTCTCCCCCCAGAGCCTTCTTGAGGCTGAACTGTCTCAGTCTTTCCTCACAGGAAAGATGTTCTGTCCCTCTGATCATTTTTGTTGTCTCCTCTGGACCCACATCAACAGGTCCATGTCTTTCCTGTACTGAGAGATAATTTGGGAAGTTCCCATGACCCATGTTTTCTGAGAACTGGCACAAATGAGTTCTCCTTTTGTGCTTGACAAGCATCACTTAAATGGGTCTTGGAATCTTAGTGGTGTCAATGAGGAGACATCTGGGTGTCTCCAGTCTAGCCACATGCTCAGAGCAGGGCTGTCCCCAGCACTGGAGCCATGGCTTTGTCTGCCTGAGTCATGAGAACCTCTAAGGCTGGCATCCTGTACCTAGACAGTGAGATCCTGTACCAAGTGATCTTTCCCAAGAGTACTGTGCCAACCGGGGGAAGGAGGTTTTCTGTCTCCAAGTGGAATCTCCCAACCTACAAATTTCCCCTTCTTTTTCCATGGCAGTTTTCCATCTGCCACTACTGAGAAGTATTTGTGTCCATCATCTTTGCAGTTCCCTCTCAAATAGTTGTGGTCTGCTGTTAGATCTCCCTTAGTCTCCTCTTTGCCGAGCTAATCCCTCCCAGCTCCCTCAGCCTCTCCTCTGGGCTGCTGACCATCTTGACAGCCTTTTGCTGGCAGCTCTCCTTTTTCCTCACAGACCCCTGGAACTGGGGATGCAATCTGGGTGACCTTCCCAGTGCCAAGTAGGGTGAGACAGCACCTTCTGTCTCTTAGCCTGGCACACGTGGCACACTCCAGCACATAGGTCATCTCATCCATAGGGAGAGAGTGCTGCTGGCTCATACTTGTGTCCACTCTGCCCTCCAGCTCCTTCAGCCTGGACCAGGTTATTCCACCCCACATGTTGGCCCAGTTCTCCAGTTTATCAAAGTCTCTCTGTACTGACACTGCCATTCCTCAGAGCAGCCCATCACTTTATGTATAACAAAGATTTGTCTGGCAAACATCAAGGTCATGTACCCGCTGCTCTTCAGATCACTTCTACTTCAGCAGGGCTCTAAAGTTCATTAGCACTCTAAGCTTTTGCTTTTGTAACTATAAAAGCAAGAGAAGCTTTTGACATAGTTTGACCAAGAGAGCTTTAGTCCGAGTATGTACTCCTGTGGCAGTATATAAACTCCACTGCAAAAAATTGCAGAGTTGAATGTGTTCAGCCTGTAAGAGGAGAAGTGGTGTTCATACTTGTTAAAAGCATACTGCAGCTAAGCACAAAATTAACACTGGCTCCTTTATTGTAGTTCAGTACCTGGAATATCTCAGCTCTGACCTTCTTTTGTTCTCTCTGCAGCGGGTGTTTCTCTGGGACTTGGATGAGACCATCATCATCTTCCATTCACTTCTCACAGGGTCTTATGCTCAAAAATATGGCAAGGTAATACTGTCTTTTCCATGGGAAAAACCCCAAACATTTCTGTCTTGCAGAATTAAATGTTAATCTTGGAAAAGGAACAGAAAAATACATTTAGTTTTAAATTTATAAGGTGATACTTTTAACTTGTTGGCAGTTTGGGGCAGAGAAAGAATGTTAAATTTGGCTTTATACAGAGCTAGGAGATGGACATCACCAACACTTCCCTTCTGACAATGCAAGTCCTAAAATGTCAAACTGTATCCTCACTGGGAATTACTGAGATCCTGGCACATAGGGAAAGGAAAGGGGGTTTTCTCCTTCAAAATATATTGTAGATTTTTTAATGTTTTGTTCGTGCTGACTGCGAAAATGCATCAATTCCTCCTGTGCAGCACTGAAGTGTTTTGTTACATTTTGAGTCAATGAACCAGACTGACATTTGGGTCAATCCACCAGAATGTGGATTTTTCTTTTTTTTCAATTGAGTTGTTTAAATATTAGGGAAATTGTAGTTCACACCATTGATCGTAGCTGGAATTACATCAGGTTTGATATAGAGTGGAAACAGTGCAGTTTAACCGAAGAGAGATTTATGACAATTCCCTTCTGCCTGTACCCACAGTGGATTTACTTCTTCTCTTTGTGTTTTGCCAGGATCCAACTCTAGTGATTGGCTCAGGTCTGTCCATGGAGGAGATGATTTTTGAAGTCGCTGATACTCACTTGTTTTTCAATGACTTGGAGGTACTCATGGCAAAGGCAGAACTCTGTGTTACCATGTTTGAATGACACTGTTTGTGAGGGCTCTTGTACTTCAGAGCCTGTTATTGTTGAAACATGACAGTCTGACAAAGCTGAAATGGTTGTAAGCACAACCAAATCAGAGATGCAGTCTTACCTAAGACACACATTCTGCAGCCTTCTAGTGTCAGGAGCTCTCTCAGGTTCTGCTGGGTTTCTGCTTGAACCCACGCAGATAAAGGCAATTATGTCTGCTCTGTCTTGTACTTGCATTCTGGACTGGTGAGTACTTTACTTCCACTGATCCTGTTTTGAAATGGAGACCAGAGATGTGAGGACAAAATGACCTTGAGGATGTCAGTTCTCAGAGGCTGTGACTAAGCCAAGGACAGAATACAAGAGGTGACATGGGCTGTGTAACAGCTTTGAAGGACGTGCTGCCATAGACAAGTGTGCTGTACACATGGAAGGTCCACAGCACCCTCCCTTTTTCTTTCCTGCAAGCCCCTGCTGCCCTCCCATTGCCACCCTGCTTAGGAAAGCTGAATATGAACATGGAACAGTTAGCTGTAGGTGCATCACTGATGCACATCATGGGAAAACAAGATGATTTTTGCAAACAGAGACTTAAATGACATTTCCATTGTGGCTGTGACTACTGGCAGCAGTAAACTTTGACAAGGTGGTCATGAGTTACCTCCCTGCCTCAAGGGAAAAAACAACAAAAACCCCTAAGGAAAACACTTGTGCTGGAAAGGGAATTGTTGACATGTTAGCTGAGTCTCAGCCACGACATGTGCTGCAGTAGGTGTTGGTTGGTGGGTTAAATCAGTGGGTTAGTGGGTTAAATCAGCTGCATTAAGCACCAGAGTCATGGCAGTGCCACTACACTGCTGTTCCTTCAGGGTTCCTGCTGTGACTCTGCTGACCTGGTGTTGAGAAAATGGAATAGCAATGCTTGACCAGATAATGCAATTTTGGGATATTTTTGTTTTGTTTTGTTTTTCTGAAGTGACACAAGGGTTTCAAATGACAAGTGAACTTTGAGTCCAACCTGTTCAGGGAGTGTCAAAGTTCTCTTTTTGCAGACAGGTCAAAATGTCATATAAACATGCTTTTTTCAGCTCTTTCTGGGTCCTAGTGTGGGCAAGGACCTGTAAGAGCTGGGCAGTGAAAGCCAATACTGGCAGATGGAGCTAGTGGAAGTTCTGTGGGTTTTGTGGAGGTGGTGTGGAATGGCTTGTTGCTGTTGGGAAGTGTGAAGGGATTGGTTTATATCACAGTTTTTTTTAATCCACAAATTTTAGTATGTTTCTGAATTACCACAGTGTGACTCTATTTTTGTTTTTTCCTTTAATAGGAGTGTGACCAGGTACACATAGAAGATGTGGCATCTGATGACAATGGCCAAGATCTAAGGTGTTGTACTGACAAATGCAGGAAATGTATTGCTGATGTAATCGGGTGTTGTGGGGACTTGACACCCAGATGGAATTAAGGGAGGGAGGTCAGCTTTGTGCAGAGAACGAAACCTGGCAAACGGTGTTTGTTTGCTGGGGGCTGTTTCTTTGAAGACCTACAAAGCATTAAGAGTTTTGAAATTAGATTGTGAATTATATTGTCCACAGTTGAATGCTGCCTCTGTGTTCAATGACATATGAGGAATGGAGAACCTGCACTCCAGATCTCATGATGACAAGGTTGGATGGATCTCTGAGTAACCTGCTCTAGTGAAAGGTGTCCCTGCCTATGGCAGGCGTTTAGAATGAGATAATCTTGAAGGTCTTGTCCAACCTAAACCATTCTGTGAGTCCATGATCATCTGAGAAATGCCTGTCAGGGAGTAAGAAATACAGGGAGAGTGGTGAAGCAGGACTTGTTTCCTGCAGTCATAAGCTGGTGAAGCAGCTCATCTGCTCGTGGAGCTGCAACTGTGATGGAAAGGCACAGATGTTGTGTTTAGAGGATACTGTGCTGGAGTTTATCATTGCAGGATGAGAAAGAGGCCAGTAGGAAGGATGCTCCATATCGCAGAGGAGTGAGCAGCCAAAGGGCAAAGGAGAGTTTTGTAGTGGAAAATGTGAAGGGAATTGTATGAGTGTAGCAGTTCAGAGCCAGCAGCAGCTGTAGTTGGATATCAGTGTGTTCCTGTAGGAGCTGGGCTCTGTTCTCCAGGTGCCCTGGTGCCCGTGCAGTTCCTCTCCCAGGTTTTTTTTGGCTGCTGTCAGCGCTGTTGCAAACAGCTGCAGGAGTTCTGCTGTTGTGGCCCAGCTAACACATCTACTTTCCTGCAACAGCAACTACAACTTCTCCACGGATGGGTTCAGTGGCTCAGGAAGCAACACAAACCACAGCTCCTCGGTTGGTGTGCAGGGAGTGGACTGGATGAGGAAACTGGCCTTCCGCTACCGCAGGGTACGCGAGATCTACAACAAATACAAGGCTGATGTTGGAGGTGAGTGTCACCTGCACCGAGGTCTGAACAGAGCTTGTAGGGCCAGACTCTGTCCTTCCTCAGAGTTTTGGCTTTTCTGAATGTGTGGACATGAGAAGTAAACCATTCTCCCAGTGCTAACTGGGATCAAATTTCCATGGGATCCAAGAGAGTACATCTTCCAAAACTGAACAGCATGCTAGTGCAGGCTGTGAGTTATCATGGAGATAGGGATGGTCAGTCAGTCCTGGAGCTAACAAAGTTGTAGTGCATATAGTGTCCCTTTACTAATTTAGTATGAAAGGTTGCCTGGCATTCTGCTCAGGACAGGTCTGAATGACTCACTTGCCCTTCCTCTCAGGAGGTGTCATTCATGTCTTCACAAAGTCTGCTTTTTGTCATGTCATTGTCAGGAAACACAGTGGTCACCCCTGGGCTGCTGGGTCCACGGTCTGACATGACATCTCTATCTTTTCACAATATCACTTAAAACCTTTCAGTTTTGCTTCCTTTCCAGCTCCAAAGCAGTCATAATGATGCAAACCACAGTGAGCAAATGGAGAGGAGTTTTCTGTTTAGTCTGAATCTTGGCATTGCTGTCCCTGGAAAAGGGATGTTGCTGGAGCGGCTCACCCTGCAGGGTGACTCGGCCTGGTGGGTTGTGGATTTGGGTACCCTTTGCCTACACAAAAAAAACACTTGATAGATCATTTTCTTGGACAAATGTTCTAAAAAACAGGTGTTCAAAACTACAGCTTTCAGCCCCGTCGGTGTAAGTCTGCAGTTCAGTGTGCTGGAGCTACCTGATTTCTGGCAGGGATCAGACCATGATTCTGTATTTTGCATGTGGGAAACCTGGATGCAGAGTTTTTCAGGACCTGTGTAAAGCCCCATGGTAAAGCAGCTGTGGGTGCAGCCTGCTGTGGGTTCTTCCATGGCCTCAGTGCAGGGGACTGGTGCACTACAGGACTGGAATGAGGGAGCTCGAACGTCACGGCTGGAAGGGAGGTGCAGGCTCCATGTGCTCCTTTCTTGTTGTGTTTACTGATAGCAGCAAGTTTGACTGTATGGACTCCATTTCTGGCTGCTTTTAATTCAAAACTGGAGGCTTGGAGAAAAGTATATCGAAAAGAGATTACAAACACGGGAATAAAAAAAAAAGGAGGGCAGTTTAAAAAAGATACATAAAAGGGGTTAAAGTGGAAAGGGTCCTTGGGAAGAATGATGTCAGAGGGGGTGACTGGAGGAGTTCTTTCCCCTGCTCTATGGCCTTGGACCCCTGCTGCTGTGAGTGCTTTGTATGAGAGAAGTGCATTTGATTGCCTGTATCCTGAGAAGTCTTTGAAACAATCGGAGAAAAGCATCTGCCCAGTTCCCCACAGTCAGACTCCTGGATGGATGTCTGGGCTCATCCATGTCACTGGAAGCTGGTTTCTCTTGCTGCTTCAAGACAGACAGTCCAGCTTCCAGAGGCCTTCAGTTCTGTGTTATTTATTGCAGAGCAGGCAGCTGGTGCATTGGGGGACAGCTCTCTCCTTGTCAGACTTGCCAGCTCAGCTGGGCAAACACATGTTCCTTACCTTCCAGGCCTGCTTAGCCCACAGAAGAGGGAAGCTCTCCAGCGACTGAGGACTGATATAGAAGTGCTAACAGATTCCTGGCTAGAAACTGCATTAAAGTCCCTGCTGCTCATCCAGTCCAGGTATGGAACCTTGAAGTGCGTGCGTGGCTTTCGCAGCCCTTGGGTTCACGTGCAGCACTGCTGCTGAGAGGCAAAGTGTCTGACTGCAAGAACTCCATCCCTGAGCACCCTTTAGGATTTCTTTGCTGCAACACCTGTAGTTAGGAAGGTCCCCATGCTCACCAAATCACTTTTCTACCAGAGAATTCTTCCAGAAGTAAACAAGCAAAAATCACAAAACCTTGGCCTAAAAAGCCCCCTGAGAGCAGGACGGCAATGCATGTGGCACTTGGGAAAGCCGAGCAGGCTGCCTGGAGCAGCCGTGGCACCAGTGGCTACAGATGTGCAGTAACAAGTGTTTTTCTTCTTTTAGAAAAAACTGTGAGAACATCCTGATCACAACCACCCAACTGATGCCAGCTCTTGCCAAAGTTCTCCTGTATGGATTGGGCGAAGTGTTTCCCATTGAAAATATTTATAGTGCTACAAAAATAGGTAAGGGGTTGTGCCAAGTCTCTGGCACAGCAGCATGTGCTGGGGATTAGCAGGGAGTTTTACATGGGAAGTGCCATTTCATGCTGTGGTCCAGCTGGTCATGGCTTCTGGCTCAGGAGCTAAACTGGGTGTTATCCCCTCCCAGTAAGACAAGAATGTGTTTCTGGAAGGAAAAGACCTGTTCAGACTCCGATTTCTCTCTGCCTAAGGCTCCTCAACAGTGGGTTGTGTTGGCAGGTAAAGAGAGCTGCTTCGAGAGGATCGTGTCGCGGTTTGGGAAGAAGGTCACTTACGTGGTGATCGGGGACGGGCGCGACGAGGAGGTGGCAGCCAAGCAGGTGGGTCTGACTGCAGAGGTGGCTGGGGGGCAATACAAAGGGAAGTCACTGCAGCAGGCTTTGCCTGCAGGGACTCTTGTTCCAAGGCCGAACAATTCAGGCTGGGGCAGCCAGGGGCAAGAGATCTTCCACATGTTAAGATGGGCTGTTTTCTGGCTCTTGGGGGTTTAAAGTTTCTGTTTTACTGCTGTTTACGATTGCATATGTCCCTGTAAGCAGTGTCTTGGTGTAGCACATTGGATGTAGCATGTTCAGAGGTTGGACTCAGTGATCTTGGAGGTCTCTTCCACCCTGGATGATTCTGTGTCCTGATCATAGCCTGGGGCTATCAGGATAATGCAGTTTCTCAGGAGCACAGAGGAGTCAGGGCTCAGTGGCAGCAGCACATCATTACAGCACCTGCTATTAGTCTGGATTACAAACAAGGAGCAGTTTGATTGATTTGGACAGGCCTAGATGAGTTGTTCAGTTGTGCTAATTAACAACAGTGAAGTGCACGGACGACTGTCAGGACCTTGTCTGCAGGCTTCACACGTTCTACCATGTGCCAGAGCTGCCACCTGTGCAGGTTCCCTGGGAGCCCTGGGCAGGCATTCCTGGATTCAGCAGCAGCTCACAGCCAAGGTTTTTATCGTGAGCAGCTGACAGTCAGTGCTGGTGCCTGTCATACAAGATGTGCAGATAAGATACAGATGTGCAGGTGGCCAATATCCATCCTGAGCGTGGTGTGCTCAGAACCACCACACTGCACAGCCCTGCAGGTGTACCCTGGCTGCTTCCACCTCAGCTGAAAATCCCTGATAAACTTGACTGTCCTCTCTTTGTCACAGCACAACATGCCGTTCTGGAGGATCACAAATCACGCTGACCTCGTGTCCCTTCACCAAGCCCTTGAGTTAGACTTCCTGTAAGAAGCTGGAGCAGAGGCGAGACTGCAGCTCCTGTGAGCAATCTCCGTCACTGGAGAGGCAGAAATCTCACACATTTGAGGACTCACTTTTCAGCTTGATGAAGAAAACATACCTGATGCAAAATCTACAGTGGAACATGACAGCAGGTCATTCCTCAGGAGTCCTGCCAAGTCCCAGAGGTGTCCTGCAAAGGAGCCCTAGACTCAGCAGGGCTACAGCTTGTCTGCCAGAAGGGACTTACAGAGCCAGCTGAATGCTTCTGGCAGGTGTCTCCAGAGGGAGGGGCCATACAACAGCAGAAGTATTTGTAAGAGCCCTCTCCTTTCTATTCAGCTTAGTTGTAGAACCCAAGTACACATAAAACCTTATTTTTATAGGAAAACACTGATGGCAGAGCTGAACCTTCCTTGTTTTGCAAAGCCGAAGAGCTATGTTTTTTTTTTCATGGGAAATATTAATGAAAATGTCAAAAATACCTCTATTGCTGTAAAATGTGTCCTCTCTCCTTTCCTGGGTGTTCAAAGCAGTTAATTTATTACAATGTCCTTATTTCCTCAATGTGGGATTACTGGAAAACAGAAAAACAAGGGAACGCTTCTGGGAGATGTGGTTCCTTGTAGAGGCAAATGTTGGTGTTCTGAGTTTATCCTGGTGGCTTCTAGTCAAATATGTGCACAAGTCCTGTTAGCCAGCAGGAGACCATTGGATTCCAGCCTTGGCCCGGACCATAGATCCCACAGATTTTCCCTGTAAAGGAAAATGAAACCGCCTGTGAACATCAGGTATGGCAGACTAGTGCATACTGTTCAGATGTGAACAGAGTCCTCACCTGGACTAGGAATAATCTAATTCCTAAATCCTCATGAATGTTACAGAGAAGGCTCTGGCTATGGTTGTTAACCTTCACCTCTGCATTCCTGACTCCATGTGTGAGAAAAAGCTCCTTTTAGTAGAATCAGATTCAGTTTTCTTATATTCTTCTTTGCATTAGCCTAAATACATAGTGAGAAACAAATGCCTTGTTAAGAGGGACTTAATTTTCTAAGACACTGTGACTTGGCAGCCTGGAGCACACTAGCCTTGAGAGGAATGGCAATGCTGATTTTTCTGCCACTGTCTCAGAAAAGAGACTGGAGCCAGTGACTTGCAGCTCCCCTGGCAAGGAACAGGCAACTGGGGACTGGGGCTGGCATAGGGGCTGGTTTTGTGCCAGGTCAGGCTGTGTTTGGTGGCATCTGCCTCCCCCTGCACCCCGATGGCACCAGATCAGCAGGTGCTTGGGGTTCCTGCCCTGAGGACGGGTGTGTGCTGCACCCCAGCCAGACCTGTGGCTGCACCCAAACCCCTCCAGATTGCTGGTCCCAGCCCCACGTCACCTGTCTGGGACCCACAGGGGACTGGGCTGAAAGTCTGTCACTGCAGGGGGACACTGACCCACTCGCTGTGTCCACACAAGGGATGTATTTGCTGCATTCCTTGTATGGCATTAATTACTGAGGGATATTTCCATCAGTGCAGGCTCTGCTGTGCCCTGGAAACGTCTGTTCCTGGGCCATCTCCAGTGACCACTGGGGAGAAGGTGCCTAGAGCCAGGGGTTTGGATCCCAGGAGCTCTGTTTCATATTGTCCTAGCTCCTAGCTCCAGTTTCCTTTTTTTTTTTTTTTAATTAAATTGGAATCAAAGGAGATTCTTTTTCCAAGGTGGTCACAGGAGTCGGGAGTGATCAGCTTTCCATCCAGCTCCTTGTCAGGTGTTGGCCTTTTGCTCTGATCCCAGATGGATACTGGGTCTGCATATTTCCCCAGGAGCTCTGCAGCAAGAACACACTGTTATGTGGGAGCTGCTGCCCACGAGCAGCAGGACCACTCACCCCATGAGGGGAATCTGAGGACAGGTGTCTGCTGCGGGTGTCACTGGGCAGCTCAGCAGAGGGGGAGGTGTTTGGCTGCCCTTGGGGCTGCTGGCCCAGGAGAGCCCTGGGGCTGTGCTGGGGGTGTTAGCAGCAGGTTTGGAGAGGGGAGCAGGAGTCCCCAGGGATGTTCTCTGTACCAGATGGAGAGCTCAGGTGTGTTACCACCTATTCCAGGCAGCTGGAGCAGCTCCAGCTCCATGACTGCTGGGTCCACAGATCCAGTTCCTCTGGGGTCCCTGTGAAGTGTGTTACTGTGCCAGCCAGAGCTGTGCCGAGGAGCAGCCCCATTGCTCCCAGGGCTGGAAATATCACCAGAGGATCAGGACTTACCCGGAGTCACAGAAGAGTCTGTGTGGGATCCTGAACATCCCTCAGTGAGTCCCAGTCCATCCAAAGGTCTCCTGTAAGCAGGCTTGGGAGCTGTCCCAAGCTGTGCAGCAGCCTGTTGGGAGCACGTCTTGTACTCTGGCTGGCTAAGCTTTGGGATTAAAACCTGTGCCTTAACCTCCCACCACTGGCATGGCCAAGTAGCCCCTTTGCTTTGCTCCCGTGGGAAGCAGCTGGTGAGAGCTGTGCTGGGGAGGGGCTGGGTTTGCCCAGGCATTCTCAATGGGTGCTGGGCCTGTGGGCCTGAGCCACCTGGCAGCTGGCTGTGCTTTTTGTTTGTTTACTTCCAGATGTTTTAAGGAAATTTTAAGATGTCGGTAAAATTTTAGCTGAGCGTGGAACTTGCAGCCACTGACATTTCATACTGATATTTATACGATGTTTCCTTGAATGTATGTAAAGTACTTTTATAACAGGAGGTTGATGGTACATTTCTGTGTTTGTTACTAAAGAGTGACCTGGCTATTTTATTTTTTTCCTCTGTTGGCTGAATTTAAGCCTTTTCCTGTCTCTCATGAGGCAGAAACAGCACCTCTATCCAAGTATTGATTTTTCTCCTGTCTCTGTCACCAGTTCAGCTACAGCCAGGTAGGCTAATGGAAGAGCAAACCCAAACACCTGAAAGACAGTCAGCCTGTGGGCCTGGGGCATCTGAGCTCACGTGGGTGCTGCCAGCCTCCCCTGCAGCTTCACCACAGCCACAGAGGCTTTAAAAAACACCTGATCCACTAATATTTGCTGCCTCCGAGAGCCCCGGGGGAGGTGTCTGTGCTGGCAGTGGTGGGCAGGACCCCTGGAGTCCAGAGCAGCCCTTGCAGTGCTATGAGGGGTGAGTCCCGGGCACTGCTGGTTGTGGGGTCTCTGCCTGTTCATGGTCTGTAATGGGAACTGTTCTATGAACTGGAAAAAAATAATAAATTCTTTATTTTCTATAGTGACTGCTTCAGCTTGTTTTCTGCCCCCGTGTCAGTCCCTGCCCCTGTGACAGCCTGGGCCAGGCTTGGTGGCACTGGCAGGTTACAATGCAGCCTCTGGGGAGTCCTGGGGAGCCAGTCCCTGCCCCACTGGCTCTGCTGAGGTGCCCAGGGCAGGCACACAGTGCTCCCTGAACAAACCTTCCCTTCCCATTTCTTTTGCACAAGGCCATCAAACACCCCTCCTCCCAGCCTGTGCTGCAGAGCTGCTGGCCTTGGCCACGGGCTGATTGTTTGTAGGAGCAGCTGTGAAACAGAGTTCAGCTGCTCCTCCAGCTGTATCCTGCTGCCTTCCCTGGGATGGGGTTCCCCTCCTAGGCTGGGTCCTGCTGGGGGGGAGTGATGGAGGCAAGGGGAAGGGGCCAGGAGTCAATGCTTTGGGCAACCAGGACACGCCACAGCTGCCAACTGGGCAACAGCAAAAGAGGCAGAGGCTGCTCTGGGGCCTGCTTGGGTTTTGGCACGAATCTCAGGGCCACCCTGCCTGGGAGCTGGGTGGGTGTCTGTGCCCAGGTGCCAGCACAGCCCCACACTGACCACATGCACAGCCACCTATGGCCAACTGCAGCCTGGCTATAGCATTAGGAGCACTGCCCAGGGTGTGGTGGTGGGAATGGCAGCCAAGGGAGCACGAGGTGTCCATAATAAGCCAGAAGCACCAAGCCACCCTGCAGCCACTTGTCAGCACAGGCCTCCTTCCCATCCCTCCCCAAACATGCTGATAACAGGTGAGCTTTGACCTTGATACAAAAACTAACACACAAAGGAAGAAAACTCTGTCTGGAAACAAAGGTCAGATAGCCACAGCCACGGAGGAAACAAGCTCCCACATCCTTGCACAGCAACAGCAGCAGCAGGCACAGGAGAGGCATAGAGAGAACAAACCACTGCTCTTGGGGTTTTTCTTTTGAACAAGCTAATAATAAATAACAAGGAAAGCTGACACAGCATTGCACCCACGCTGGACCTGCCACATGCCACAATGTGCTGGACCTGCCACAAACACCGTGGCTTTCCTTGAGGGTGCAGCCATGGGAGCCATGCTGTGTGCCATGGGACTCCTTGGGCATTTCCACATCATCCCTCATTCCTGCCAGGTCTCTCCAGCTGCCCAAAACAACAGCCTGGGGGAGCAGAACCAGGACCACAACTAACAAATAGACCTCCCCTGCATGTCCCTTTGGAGGAGCTGCCCTCAGGCAGCAGACTCTAGGGCAGCAGCCCCATTCAGGAAGCGCTGCCGTGCCAGCTGGGAGACAGGGAACTGGATCTGGGCCAGGCACTGCATCCGTCTGTTCACAAGGTCTGGCTCAGAGAACGAGCGAAACTCCAGCTCATCACTCCCTCCATCGGCATCCACCTCGTCATAGCCACCCTCCTGCTGCACCTGCCTGTTGGGGTGCAGCCACTTGTAGTAGGTGACCCTCAGCCCCAGTCCCAGCAGGTAGCAGGGCAGGGCGGCAGAGACCACTGGGAGGAGGTACCAGTGGTCCTCAGAGGGGGCCTGGCCCCAAAGCCAGGAGAGGGCCAGCAGTGTACTGTCCACCAGGATGAAGCTGTGGTAGATGATGCTGCGGTGCAGCGTCCTCCCCTGCGCCACGTTGAACCAGCTGAAGTAGAGGATCACGGCCACCATGGCCCGGTAAAGCTGCTCAGGGCCAGGTGATTCCATGAAGTTTGTGCCCTGCAGGCTGACCCAGAGGAACATGGCCAGCCACACGAGTGGGAAGTGGACAGCCACACCGTAGGGCCAGAGCAGGGCGAAGAGGGCGACTGCCAGGACACGGGGACAGATGAGGAAGAAGTTCCACAGGAAGTAGATGATGGAGGAGCCCCGGCTCAGCTCGTACTTGTCCTGCAAGAAGGAGCGCAGGGACTGGTGGTAGTCCAACAGAGACCAGGACACACACAGGAGCGCAGTGCCAATCCCCAGGCCTGCAAACAGAGTTGGAGATGCTGAGGGAAGACCGAGACAGGGCCCAGCCTGGCTCAAACCTTCCCCTACCCGGTGCTGCTACAAGGAGCTTCCCCCCCGCTCACTGAGCTGCTGCTGCCAGGGTCAGAGCCTCAGCACCCCTCTCTCCCTCAGCCTTCTGCCCTCCCCGAGGAGGAGGCGGGTGCTGGCCTTGCCCTGAAGGTGGAGAAGAAGTGCTGGGACTGAGTAGCCCTGCAGAGCCCACACAGGCAGGCCTGTGCTCCACCTACACCCACATTGGCATCTCCCTGCTCCCCAGCCTGACCCTCAGCCTCTCCTGGGGCATGTAAGGAAATGACCACAGTGGTGACAGCTCCAACCCTCCCACCCTGAGCCCAGCACAGTCCATTGCAGCATGTGAGTGCAGGACAGGGGTTCACCCTCCTGTGTAACACGGGAGCAGAATGACCCTTCAAGCAAGTGTCCTGTGGGGTCCTGCAGCCCCCAAACAGCCCATCCGGTCTGTCCCATCCAAGCCCACTCTGACCCCAAGCCTCCACCCCCTCTGCCCTCTCCCCTGGCCCCAGACCCCTCACCCTGGGAGATCTCAGCCTTGTTCGTCTGAAGGATAATGTAGAGGAGCAGGGTGAGCTGCGGGGTGTTCTCGAGGAAGGTCTCGAAGAGCCGCAGCATGCTGATGTCGTGGGAGAGGAAGGCCATGTGTCTCTGCTCCTCCTCCTCCTCTGCTTTTGCCCAGCACACCTTCCAGCCCACCTTCAGAGCATGGAGGCACCTGTGTGGGGACCCAGCCAGTGGTGAGGGGCCACACCAAGCCCCTCGGTCCTCACGCTGCCCCTCGGTTCCTCACGCTGCCCTGGCAGGACAACAAGCCCCTCCAATTTATACCCAAACTCCTCCTTCCCCCTCCCCAAACCAGGCACCACAGGAGCCACGCGATGCCCAGCCACTCGTGAAGTGTCAAACAGAGAACTGCCCTCAGAGGACCTGCCAGGATCGTTTCCTGCCCCCGGGAGGGGAGGCCCCGCCGCGCCCCCCGAACTCCCGGGAGCGCCAAGGCCCAGACGAGAATCCGGGCCCCGCTCCGCTTGGTCGGAGGGCTCCG